TTTTTTTTTTTTAAGATAGGTGTGATTTATGTATATGATAATTGTATTAAAACCTACTGAAGACTAACTTAGTTAGCTTAACATGTCAAGTACATGATTATTTTTATGGCTTGGAATCTGAAATATTCTAGGGAATTGCTGAATCATCAGGACAGTGTCAGCAGCACAGAGAGTCTCATTGATGATCTTCGGGTAAATTAAATGCTAAATAGAAAAAGCTCATATTCCAAGGCATTGCCACCCTTTATTTTCTTTTATTTCTCATGTTTGCTCCAAGTTCCAAGTGTTTTGTTATTACATTAAGAATACTTTATACAGTGCTAACTAAAAGGCAGAATGTTGGCATATGTTGCTTTGCTTCACACATACATATGCATGTGTGCATGTATATGTATATTTGTGATGATGTAAGGACCAGAAGAAAATATTAAACATGTAGAATGGAGATCATTTTTCCATAAACTCCAGGTCATAAGTACTGAACATTCTTTACTCTGAGAATATGGTACAAGAACTTGTGTAACGCTTTGTTTTACAGCTTAACTGAAAAGGTCTGAAACAAGCATAATTGCATTCACTTATACAGTCCAGTACTAGGTTGCAGAAACATGAAGTCCCCATAATGTTGGTAAGAATCCAGTTCAAATCATTATAGATGTACCTCATCTCTTGTTGCCTTGGTAACTATCTATTAAAGTTCATCATCTTGATTATACATTTCACATAAAATGTTATTGTTGCTTTATAAAAATTTTGAGTTCTGTCTGCTCTTCCAAATCCAGAATGTTAAGAAACTTTTGACCTTTTTGATAATTGGTATAACCAAATTTTTCAACTTGTAATTTATTCATTAGCCTCACAATAACGTTTTCTAAACATTATATTTTCATCTCTCTAAATATACTCATTATGCATTTTAAACAATAAGAACCAAATAATTTTAGCTATACATGACATTCCAGAAGAAAAATGAAACCAATTATAAAGACAAAAAAACGTTAAGCTGTTGTTTCTGTCTAGTTAGTTTTGGTATTGACATAAAAGTTGGGAAGATTTTGCAAAACATAGTAACATGGATTCACTTTCGTAGCATATATTATTTCAGGGTTGGGAATAATTATGTTTTTAGGATTGAGAGCTGTTTAGGTTTTGTGCAACTGCCTTTTTGTTTTTTAAGGACACTTAAGTTTATAATATGAAAAAATTTCTTTATATATACACATATCAAAAACTATTTTTGTATATATGAAGGTCTTAACTCATTCTAATCACCCATTTATAGTCATTATCTCACATGTAAGTTGAACTTAATTTTCTTGAAGGCCAAAATAAATAATTTTCTATGACTAGAAATTTTAAAGGGATAAAATATTCAGCTTTTGAAACTCTGGAAAACTTCTTTGATTTGTCAATTTCATCACAGATGTAACATAAAATGGCTTTTTAATCGATGCTTACCGAGCTTCAGAAGCAAAAGTTAGGAATGTTTTCATCATTCCCTACAGCTAAGACACAGGAATCACTCTGACTAATAAATATGAGCTCTATTAATCATACATGAAGTAATGGCACATTTGGTGTCATGCATAACTTTTCAACATACTTTCTCTGTGCTGTTGTTTGAGGTTTTTTGCATTATCAGGTAATTATTAAGTTTATAAAGTTATAAAATTCTGTGTAAATGTGAAGATCTTGAATGAGGTATGAATGGTATATACATCTTTTTTTATGCTTAAGAAATCCTGCTTCCTTTTTTTTATGTAGCATGTAGTTAAGTTTAATTTGCTATGTTGTAGAAGTGCCTCCTCACCTGGTGAGAAAAGTAGTAATTCCAACTCAGAACAGTCTTCTTCTCAAGCTACAACTGTAAGTATACTTTTTTTATGTATGTGTATGTATATTTATATAAGGTCAGACAAGGCTTAGTGGCTAGCATGCAAGACTATGAATCTGGGGGTTCGCGGTTTGCGTCCTTTTGCTAAAATACACTCTGATTATATGTTTGTTGAGGAAGGTCATGAAAAACCATGAAAGACACAAATTGCTCCTTATGAGTCATCGTGTCCACCTATCCTTAGTGTTAGGGTAGTTTAAGAAAAAATTTGTACATTCCTTTAATGTAGTTATGATGGATACTTCTCGGGTTTCTTTTTAGATGATAATATACCTTTCAGAGAGAGGGATTTTATTATGAAGACTTGATCCTTGTAACAGCTATCTGACTGATGCAAGATACTATTCTCATTTTCAATTATTACATCTTCTTAAACTTGGCTTAGTTGCTTAAAAATAATATTGATTCAAAATATGACATTTAGGATAACTTACAGGAATGAAATAAAATCCAAAAGTCACTGATTTTAACTCTGGGATGGCCAATCAGTGTCTTACAAGCCACATGTGACTCTTCAGTTTAGTGGTTGCAAAAAATGAGTTTTTGAATGTTTCTATTTTCTATGTAGGCAATACTTATTTTGGTTCTTTTTCATCTTTCTATTGATTAACTTTTGTCAAATGTATATGTCAGACCAATGTTCCATTTCAACCGCTGGACTGTTGTGTTGTAGTTTTTTTTTATTAAGGTGGTTTTTTGATTGTTTCTAATTTTCTGTGTAGAGAATACTTGTTTTTATTTATCTATTTATACAATTGTCATGTGGTAGACTAACATTTCCCATCAGCTGTATTGGTATAGTTAAAGGTAAAATTTCAGTGAGAATACTATTGCTTAGTGCTTACTTACTTAGCCTATTTCCTCCCAGAAGGCTTGATATTTGTCTTCAACTCATTGTTAAGTTTCAGTAGTTGTGTCTGCATATCCTTCAGGAAGCAAATAATTAAATTGTCATTGTTTTACGTTAACTGGAACTAATTTTTTTTAATATTCTTTTGTCTCTTTTTGTTGTTGTTAAATAAAGGAAATCATTCATTCATGATAAGGTTGAAGTTTATGTTAAACTGATCATTAAATTTTTTTTCATATACTTTAACATCAGGAATACTGTTTGTATTAGCCTTTCCCAGATCTTGCCAAGTTTCTTTGCTAAAATGGGTTTAAATTCACATATTAAAATGCTTTTTGATATCCAAAAATCCATACATCTTAAGTTATATGTATTATTCTGATATTATTAGCAACACTAGGAGTGTTGGTATAATATCTAAAGCTTAAGATAAAAAGATACTCTTGTTGATCCTGATCAGTTCAGTATTACAGAAAAAGGATCAAGTTGAGTGTCCTTTGTTCAGTAAGGAGGCTTCATGAAGTTTGAAAACTGTTTGCAGGTTTTGATAAGGATATTTTGCTCTGTAATTAGGGTAATGAAAAATCAGTACAAGAGTTACAGGAGGAAGAAGAATTACAGCTGGCTATTGCTTTGTCTAAGTCTGAAGCTGAAAATCAACAAAAAGGTGTAAGTAAATTTACAGTACATTTTTACTGCATGTAATTATGTGTAATCAAACTTCCAATATGCAAGATTAGTACTTATCATTAGATGTTTTGTTTTTCACTTTAGAGCTTCTTTGGTTCATTACTGCATTCCAGTATAAATAGTCTAGAAACCAGCCCTTAATTTAGAAAAGTAATGATGAAAGGGTTTTACTAATTTTTCCTTTTCCCTTGCATGCCCAAGTTTATTGCTTCTCCTTTTATATTTTAAGCTATAGAATCAAAATTCTACTAACAACTAATTTTCCTTTCTTTTTTTCACGTGATGTTATTTCTTCCAACATGGTTTTTGATGCTGACTTATTTATGTTTTTCGTCATGTGGTCAACAGGTCCTGGCTAGTACATGATTTTCCTACTTTATCACTCTGAACACTAATGATTAATGAGAGCATTCCCCAGCAATATTTTTGAATCAATAAAATATGAGTACTTAAATGCTAATAATGAAATTTTAATGATACACTTTATTGCACAGAATATGCACACACTTCGCTGCTAATTCTTATTTTCACTTGAATTCAATACACATCATTAATATAACACTTCCATTTTATATGTGCACAAAATTAAATTCCATTAAATATAGAAACCAATAAGAAAGTACGTAATCTTTCAAAACATGTTTGAATTGATATTCCTAATACTTATAAATATTAAGGCAGCTGTCAGAATGGATGTTGAACATTTGAGATTTTAAATGTAGTACAGAAGTCGTAGTACAGTATTATATATAAAGAAGTGTGAAGTAATGTTAATTACTTATTATATATGACAACACACAAATGTGTACAAACAAATAGTTGTAACTAATTAATCTTTATTTCCTGTACCAGCGAGGAAGGTTGACATCCACAACCAAGTCTGACCAGTCAAACCAGCCATATTCCTATGGGGTAAGTAATTGTAATTAATGCTTTACTTTTGTGTTTGATCTCTCATATTTTTTTATTAAGGTTGAGTTTGGTGTATTATGTACTTATTAAATTACAGTGTACATTAATAAAAGTACAAATGTTATTCTAAATACTTTATGATAATTTTTAATGTCCAATTTTTGTTCAGATCTTGTGTTTGTTCTTTTGTTAATTAAACATAATTCTTCTGATCGTTATCAGAAAAAGTTGTTTAGCACTGAATAAACAAATTAATGTGTGTATTACAGAACCAAAATAATACACTAACTTGTTTATTACATGTAGCTGTTACACAGCCAAAATAATAGATGTGTATGGTAATTATGGGTAGCTTTTACACAGCCAAGCAGTATGTCAGTGTGATAATTAATGTCTATCTGTTATGAATCCAAAATGATGATTTTGTAAGTTATTGTTACTCAACCAGAATAATTCATTAACTTTAGTATTACATGTAGGATGTTATACAGATTTCATGCAGTAAGAATTACGAGATTGAAATTACAACTCTTTTAAACCACCAATAACCTTAATCCTACATTTAAGTTCTTTTTAACTTTAGGTTATGATGTAAAAAAAAATTTAAATGAATTTAAGTAATCAGGAAAAAAGATATAAAATTGTATGTTAATGAAATCTGATTTACTTGCATTTACAGTATAACAATTATTTTATTTCTTTCATACCTTTAACAAATCATTTAATTTTACTATTCTTTTTAATCAGGATTTCTTTTTCTAATATTTCATCAAAATCACAGAAAGGTTGAAATTCTGCAAATGTTATTATGTTAGATTAAACCTTAAAATAGTAACATTATATTGTTTTAAATGCAGTGTTGTTATAAATATTGAAGACGAGTATAAAATAAAAATAATATCCTGATTTCAGGATATCAAATCTGTGGAGAACAAAAAACAAAATTTAAATGATCTAGAACAAGATCCAGAATTGGCACAATACCTAAATCGAGCCTATTGGGAACAACGGCAACAAGAGGGAATGCCTCAAACTAGTCCAATCCCGAGTGCTCCTGCTTCGGTCAATACTACACAGAGTTCTGTTCCATTCTCTTTATCAAAAGTCACTGAGGTATAACTTGAGTGTCATATTCATAACCTATTGAGGTGTTACCTGACGTTTCGTGTAGTTTAATTTGTCATAGCTTTTCCGAGATCAAATTTTACTGAATGATTATAAATATGTAGTAATCATAACTTATTGAATATTTAAAATTTACTTAAAGACCACATTTTGAAGTCTAGCAATGAACTTAGTGTTTGTACTGTAATTGGTTTTAGATTAGTTGCAGTGTTCTTACGTTTAACTGGTTGTAGACTAGCCGAGAGACGAAAAAAATGTAATATCTTAGGTGAGTTTTACGTATAATATAGACTAACAATGTTTATTTCATTAAAACAAGTCAGTATGGTATATATATATATATGTTGATAAAAATTAACACCGAAAGTTTCATACAGAAAAGTATATTTCTATGTATTGAGAAAATTTAGTGAAAATTTTACAGAACAATACTAAAAGTTGACTTGTAATATTCTCTAGTTCTGTGAAAGTGATGCTGGCAATGACCTAATGGTTAGTTTACTCAACTGTGAATACAAGGATCCATGATTTTGTTTTTCAGTTGTTGCAAAATGACAAAAATAAAATTACTCTTTGCACTTTTGGTCCATTAGTGCATTATAAGAGTGATAGTCATCTTCCACTATTTAATTAGAGTAGCCAGAGTTTTGGTGATGGATGCTGTATGACTCTGCCATCCCACTAGTCTTTCTTTTCAAAGTTACAGAAAGCTGGTACAGATAGTCTTTGTGTAGCTTTGTGCAAGTATCACAAACTGAATCTATGAAAGAAGCTGCATACAAAAAATTCAGTTAGTAATATCTCCAAGAAAAAAATCTAAGAATCATTTCAATCGTGTGCTATCTGTTGTATTTTTGGAAGGTAAAAAGACTTATAATGTAGAATTTGTTTTTAATAATTTTTTTTAATACAGAAAGTATTAATCTACATGTTAAAACAATACTTACTCTTATTTTCTATATCTATAGCCAATACAGAAAAGTATTGTTTAAGAAGTAGTAGGTGTATTTAAAAATTGTTTCTTCTGTAATTTTTATCAATATAATTTTACTAGAGCAGAAATAAGGAGCACAACTATTTACTTCATAAATTATTGGAATTATATCAGTATTAAAGTTATAAAACTTTTCATACAAAAAAAATTGTAAGTGGTGAGGATTTAGTTTTTATCCATTATATTCATTTGTGTATTTTTAATTTTTTAAAAACTATCCATATTATAAGCCAACTGATATAATATATATATATATATATATATATTATTTAATTACCAGAAATTCCAGAATGGGGAAGTTGATGAGCTAGATGGCTTCCAGAATTCCCTAAGAACTACTTTAGAAATTTTTGTGAACAGGATGAAAATTGATTCAAGCAGAGGACGCCACATAGCAAATGATACCTATGTCCAGTCACTGTTCATGAATATCACCAACATGCATGCTCAGCTTTTGAAATACATTCAGGAACAAGATGATGTAAGAGGTGTGTCAAAGTTGTGTGTTATGTTATATATATCTAGTTGTTTAGAAGAAACTTCAGGCTCCTATTCCCACTGAAAGTAAGAAATAAGTAAGCACTTTCTATTTTTACATGCAAGCTTTCAAATCTAAGTGATTCACCAAACTGCTTGAGAAATTCTCAGATTCTTGGTTACCTTAACTTTAATCGGAGTATTATGTAAATGGGATGAAATGAATAGTACACATACAGACTTTTGGCTTGTGTATTAAAATCTATTATAAAGGATAAGTTATTATCAGTACAAATTTATATTCCTGGTGTTACATGGTTATCTTTGATATATGAATGGTGCCCTTCACCTTTTTGTTGCATTCTTCCAATAAAACTTGATGTTAAATGTGCAGTAAAATCTTTGTGTTTAGCAAGTTATTTTCAAGAATTATTATAAATTTTTTACATTAAAAGATTTAACAAAAATTAAATTTCTCCAGTTATTTGAAAAACAAAAAATAAATAGGGAATAAAACCCATAGTGATAATGCAATATAAAGGTCATGTGACATTTCAAATGAAGTAAAAATGATGTGGAGAAAGGTGCATGGGCTGGACGATTAAATGCAAAAAGTGTGAAAAAGAGAAAAGATGTGATACAGTAACTTTTAGGAAAGATACTTTAAGCTTCTTTTATGTAGCATTATTGCTCATACCCCTTTCTAAGACGTACTTGGATGATTTTATGATGTATATACTTTGGCCGAGATGACTTGCAAGTTAAATTTTTTTTTTGTGCTCTTAGAGATTCATATATATACTCCTGCTTGTAAGCATTTCATTGCACAGTTTTTAAAGCAAACTTTATGTAAATGCTACTCAGATTTTTATCTAAACATTTTTCATTTTGATCTTAGCACCCCTAAACTTGTTTCTCTATGATAAGTTAGAATTGAGTTTAAACATCGGTTGTTATGCATTGCCTAGCCCGCTATGAGACTTTGCAAGACAAACTGACACAGGTTAGAGATGCAAGAGCAGCTCTGGATGCTCTTCGAGAAGATCACCAGGAAAGGTTGAGACTTGTAGCAGAGGAAGCTGAACGTCAACGCCAATACCAGATGGCTCAGAAACTAGAGATAATGAGAAAGAAAAAACAAGTATGTGAAATTTGTAGTAACAGACATTGGACAGAATCATTTTCAAGACATTCCAGAATATCTATCTGTGTCTTATTAAGTACTGATTACAAAAGTGCTGGAATATTTTTGTCAGACTAACCTTATTCGTTAAGAGTTGGACTGCAGGGATCAACTGCTGTCTCTGAAACTTGTTAAGGGAAAAAAATTAACTAATGTTTGACATTTATAGTAATAAACAATAAAGAAACCAAAACTAAAAACACTTTACAATTTTTTTGCTTGTGGCCCTAACATTGTAAAAAAACAATTATGTTCTATATTTAACTTTAAGAAACATGTTATTTATCATAAAATGATTGATCATTGGCATAGTCTTCATATTGCACCTATGATTGAGAAAAAACAAGTTTCAGTTCTTGTCAGTATTTTCAGGGCTGTTGTTTTTTTCTAAAAGAGTACATAATGATGATCTATGTGTACAGAGCAGTGTTGCTGATTTTTTTTTGTTTGTTTGTTATTATAATTCAATCTAGCAATTTCTACAGATTTTACTTGTGAACCATTATTTGTTGTAATGTTAACTGGATATCTTCAGAAGTTTCCATGATGATATTTTTCAGTAATTTATCGGTGTTCAAATGCCATTGTTATTCTTTGTTTATAAGCAGTGTAGTTTTATTATTATATGGATTTGTATAGAGCTTTACATAAGGATTTCTATTTTAGAAGTTCACAGAAATCATGTTGGGGTTTATTTAAATATTTTACAGAAAAATTACTCTATGCCCAATCTGGATTAAAGACATGTTTTTGTACAAGTTAGTAATAAATTATAGGATACTATATATGTAGTTTCTTCATGTTGAGTTTAGTGATTACTTTTACCTATTAAGAATTACAGTACTAATGTTTTCTAAATTATTACAGGAATATCTACAGTTTCAAAGAGAAGTTGCCATGCAAAGAATGCATGAACAAGAGCGGGAGATGCAAATGCGTCAAGAACAACAGAAACAACAATATCAGACCATCCACCAGGGGCCTCCATTACCCCCTAGTGTTTACCCTCCATCCCAAGGACCTTATCTCCCTGGTCCAGGATATCCTGTTCCTCTACTTTCACAGCCTCCTGAAAATGATTCTCTTGGGGTCGTGCAGTATCCTGGTCAGTATGGACAGCCTCCCATGAGTCCTAGTACCAATCAGCAACCAGTTTACCCACCATATAATATTCAAGGTATTTATTAAATATCTTAGTCTTTATTACCCATTGGGAACAGTGTGTTGTGTTTGCTCTTGGATTAGGTTAACCATAAGGTTACCAACCATGAAGTATACAAGGCTGTTTATGTGTAGTGGGATTTTGAGATAGCAAAATTCACTGAGTAACATGTTGAATATTTTAATTCTTGAAACAATTTGTTACATCCATAGACTTGATCAGGAATGTTATGAAAATTGTACCTCTTGGTTGGGATAGTTCCTGAAGGAATGTAATGTCATTAAAAGTTCATTTTGTCAGCGTGTGTATATATGTATATACAGTGTGATTTTTTTTATTCTTAACTGTAGATTTCCTAAATAAAATTAAGTGTAAATCATACATTACTCTTTATAAAATACAATTATAAGAGCCCTGTTCAGGCTAGTAAATTGTTGTTAGAATCAGTGTCATTGCTAGTTTGTCATTTAGACTAATCTTTATAGCTTAATAGTTTATTACAGATTGAATTCAATTGATTTTAATTCATTAGTGTAAAGAAAAAACTCGTATTCAAGCACGTGATTTTCTTTCCTAATTCATTTGTACAAATACTGTTATTTGTTTCTTTAAATTTCTGTGTAGTTTTATACTTCCAAGATTAGATTTAAAACCAGATAAAAGCAAGTTTATAAACTTCTTAAGTATATATCCTTAACAATACAAATTATTTGAATCATCATGTTTCTTATAGCTTATAGTATTAGCTTGTATTGTCAAAAATACTAACCCTAATCTGTATTTTGTGTAGTATACAAATCTTGGTAAGTTAGCACATACGGATGTCACAGTTTAAAATCTATAGCAGATCCAAACCCCAAGTGGTAATTATTCAGATATAGAACATGTATTGATAAATTAAAATTAAATTCTTGATTTATTCATTATATGAAATACTATCTTATGGAAACAAAATGCTCAAGATGAGAAGTTGCTTTAACAAAGGTGTTTGTGTTAGCTGTACGGGGATCTCTGCCTACTGCTTCACAGGGGAATATGTATTCTGCTGCTTTTCCTGTAATACCAACACCTGTCTCAACAATACACATGGGCCCTCCTCCACCTCATCAAGTTGGACAAGTAGCACCACCAGGGCATTTTCCTTTGCCTGTCTCTGTTTCAAACCAAACAATGTCACAATCCCAGCAACACCCTGGAGTTGCTGCACTACCAGTAATGGAAAACAACCGGATGGCACTACCATTAGAGCAACCATCTCAACATCAGCCCAAGGAAGCAGAATTAATTAGTTTTGATTAAAAAAAATATTTAAAGGTTTTTGTAAAAATAAATCCATCAAAAGATAAAGCCTTAACTATGAATACAGACCCCAACATTTTCAGGTGATTTTTGAAATATTTTCCTTTTCTTTAGGTGTTTGTAATATTCTGTAATATATTTTTCTTCTAATCATCAGTACTCATCACAGCTACTAATTTGTGAAGGATAGTATATATCATAATATGCCTTTATGTGTTATATCTAATTAGTAAACAGTTACTCTGAAAGAATGTTGTAAACTTCTTGATGTATTTTATCTTAATTCTTTAGATATGATTGTGGCTTACAACTATAAGGTAATTACTACAGATTGCTCTCTGCCTTTTTTGTTTTAGGTTTCCTGCTGAACTTTTCCTGTATTTAGTCAACTTAAACCTAAGCAGTTAAAAGAGCAATTATAATTTTTTTTATGAGGTTTACATTGTACTGATGGTTTTCTGAGAGGGGTGTCAGAGAAATAGTTTACTTTTCATTATTTGACAAAAAAAACACATTATAGATTTTATATTAGATTTGAACCTCACCGATACATTGGTGTAATTTAAAATTGTTGAATGTAAATTATATTGACAATTATACTTCAAATAGAATCTGTGATACTGGGAATGCAAAGATATCTAATTATTGCCAGTACAGCTCAAAAATTCAATATTCATTAAAGTATATAAGTAAAAGTTTAACCAATTTTATTTTTCTTAGATTTTTTACAAATACTTAATCATCACAACTTAACTATTTTTCTGGTCTTTGTTTTCAATACAAAAGCATTGATTTTATCTGAACTATCTTAACCTATTATAGCAGTAAGAGTTAATTCTAATGTAACTTTTAAATGAATAAACAAACTGAGGATGTTCCTGTGGCAGAAATTAAGCAGGTGCACTCTTAAACATGATTCTGTTGGTCTGAATATAATTGTTTAGTACAACTATAACCTTCAAATTACATATGTTATGCTCATGTAGCTAGGTATACTTGAGTGAAAATTTTTCTGTATAGTCAAGTGCTAAAGGATTTTAGGAATAAACTAACAAACATTAACATGCTGGATTTTGTGTTTTTTTTTATAAGGTGAGTTCTATACTTGTAAAAGGTGAATTTTGTTTACATTTACTTTTTTTGCAAAAGTACAAATTTTAAAAGGTTTCTAAAAGAATAATCATGAATATTCAAGTTGTAATTGTTTTGGAAGGCAACTGTGGGTGAGCTGTACAACATGGTATTAAAGTACTGAAAAAAACTACATAATCTAAGCCAACTTTATAATCATTGTTTGTAGATTGTTTCTACATATGTGTTTTGATTAGTTTTTAAAATTAGTGCATTAGTGTTATACACACACACGTCATAGCTACATAAAACAGTTAAAACTTGTTGAAATTAGTGTAAAATGTTTTTGCTGAGTGAACATATGTATATATATTTTTTGCATGTGTTTTAAATTTTGTTCCAGTTCAGTTATATTAGGATTTGATGTATGCTGGAAATCTTAATGTTCGTTTTTTTGGGACAAATCTTGCAAGTTACTAAGCTGTGTATACGGGCTTTCATATTCTGTCTGACAGTAGTTTCATAAAAACTGCACCGTATAAAGAAACATCTTAATTACAATTTTACTGGAACAGGTTGGTTGGTGCTTTATGGCACAAAGCAGCGAGGCTATCTGCGCCAAACAACCGGGAAAAACAATGAAAGTAAATTAAAGTAAAATGTTAAAACCAATACATGTTGATAAAAGATTTATATAAAATTAAAAATATCTATAGTGTGTGAAAAATTAAAAGTACCATCTAATCGGACAGTGTCACCATTACCAATGACACTGTCCAGCGTCAGGGGTTAAACTTTTAGATAAAATTTGTCTAAAAATGGTGCCGTCACTCACGATCGTAACGACAGTAAAATGTGGGCTATTGTGACTTGAGTGTCACAATGGCTACAC